GAATTCCCCAGCCCCGCTGGCTGGGGAATTCTTGGGGTTGAAAGCCACGCATCTGCAAGTTGCCAAGGTTGAGAAACACTGGCTTAATGTAATTCCTCTTTGCTCTTCAGTCTTCAACACCCCTGACCACTATTTTGACATCAGAACATAATATTATAGGACTGGGATATTTCAGCCTGTTAAACATTTTCCAGGCCTCTGTGCAGCAGCCAGACCTTGGATTTGATGCCCCACAAATCATAGCTTAGAAACCCAAGTTCTTGAGTTCACCCTGCGCTCATAACCAGACAAGTTACACCCCCCCCTTAAAGGGTTCTGTCAAATCGAGCTAATCTTTTAGAATCCGTTTCTAGCACCTTTCCTGTTGGTAAGTTTCAAACAACGTTGTTTCAGAATCCAACCAGGAATTGGCCAACCAGGATGCGATGCCTGTAACAAAAAGGTGAGGTTTTTACTCCCCCTCTCCCCCCACAAACCTTTGATGCCCTGGCACCTTTCAATGCTTAAGTGTGCGATATACAGGCTCACAGCTCACCTCCAATGCAGCATCATTTATGGAAAAATGTAGGTGCAAATTGTCAAAGCCCACAAAACTGGGCAAGAACAAGGAAGCGAGATGTATACAGATGCCAGTAAGGTGTTTTTAATACTAGAATTAGGGGTAAATACAGCATCTTGGAAACCGCAAGAGGAATTTCCAACCTTATTCACAATGAGTTAATTAAGACGGAATCTCTTTGAATGATTTAAAATGCTTCTTCCCAGATTTCTCAGCGCCTGGCCTGAGTTGCTGTTTATGAGATCGGTTCCCAACCGACTTGCCCTCCTGCCTCTTGCTTCTTTACGTTGAACCTTTCCATGACTCTCTCAGCCTCCTCACAATCCCTCACACTAACATGGATCCTTTTTCCATGACAACTGTTGGAGAACCAGTTTGGTATAGTGGTGAAGGCATCAGGCTAGTGACCAGGAGACCCTGAGTTCTAGTTCCACCTGAGGCACAAAGCCAGCTGGGTGACCTTGGGCCAGTCATTCTTTCTTAGCCCTAGGAAGGAAGCAAGGGCAAACAACTTCCAAAATCTTGCCAAGAAAACTGCAGGGGCTTAACCAAGCAGTCGCCAGGAGTCAACACTGCCTTGAAGGCACCCCCCTCTCCCCAAATGACAACTGTCTGCTAAGAGGTATGCAAAATGCCTTGAGGCTGGAACATTCAGGCCTCAAAAAATCCTTCTGACCTCCCCAGAAGTATCTCAAGTTTAAAACAAGCCATTCTGACCACTATTGGTTGGAACAATTTGTTCTGACATGTGATGTTTAAACAGGTTGAACCACCTCGAGTTTCCGCATAGTTCTGGTTTCCGTTCTTTAATCAATCACCGTGCTTAAAAGGCCTTCTTCTTTTATCCCATGACTGGTGTACTTGCTCAGGAATCTTTGGCAAGGGGAGTTTTCCCAAAACATTTCTTGGAAGTCCAAGAAAGCAACATTCACTGGATCAGTCCTTTGACATGGTCAACAACTCTAAAACATCAGTGACACTGGACATACCTTCATTTTAACTTTGTTACCTTCTCTAAGATGGAGAAAGGTAGTGATACGTTTTTTGTAGTTGTGTGTCCTGAATATAAGGAAGTTAGCAAAAATGTGTTCAAATCATTGAGTTGGAAGGGATCTCAGAGATAATCTAGTCCAACCCCCTTCTCAGCGCAGGATCCACCACAGCATCTCTGACGGGTGACTCTCCAGCCTGTTTGAAGACCTTGAGCGAAGGAGAGCTCCCCACTTGCCTAGTCTGAACCTCCTTCCTTGTAATTTTAACCCACTGGTTCTGGTCCATAGGAAAACAAAAGTGCTGCTTCGTGCCCACACCTCAGTCAGATGTTGTGCCCAAAGCCTGTCCAAACGGGTGGGCCTGAAACGTTCAGACTTTTGACTTTGAGGGCATCGAGACTTTAAGGGTCAAAATAAAGTCAGGCACTGCAGAAGTTTCAGATATCAACTCTTTGAGACCCCCAACCACCCAAACTGGGCAGATCTTCCCCTTGTCTTAGTATTTTAGGCACCAAAATGAGTCCTTGAAGTCTTTGCAAGGCTCACCGTTTCTCTTTTGTTCCTTCAAACCATCCCAAACCCCAGAAGAGTGAAATAGTTTTTTAAAACCCTCAGACCTTTGATCGCCACTACTCTAATGACCCCAGATGCAAGGGACGCGGAGAATTAAGGGATCTGCAGCCTCCGCCGCGGGAGGGCAAAAGATAGCGAGACGACGCCAGGCCTGTAATGGTTAAGTGATACGAGTTCGGATTCCTAGAGAGGCAGGAAATGGACAAAGTGGGGGAAGAGGAGAGCCAGGGCACCT